GGAACACTTAAAACCTAAGTAGCAAGTTAATTTAAATGTTTACATTAAAATCTTATGAAAATATAATGTCCATGTCTTTCGCAAGTCCGAATTTTCCCATGGGGTGGGAGGATGGGCAAGAATTGTGCCAGAGTGGGTAAGCCCCCGGGCGAACCTCCACAGCTCTGGCTATATACGTAGTAACGCTCTAGGTTAGATGGTGAAAAGTTTCTATTTTATTCCAAATTGGAAATAAGCACTGATTACTGTATATTATACTGAGGTCTCTGATAGTAACAAACCAGCTGCTCGAATATACCCCCTCCCCGGAAATAGCCCTCGAAAATATCTTAAACTGACTTAATTTGGCCATCCTAAATATAAGAGCCCCAAATGTTCAGGGCAATAAAGATTGAAATAGAGTGGAGGAGTACGGCATTACATAAGCATGGACCATCGCCCCACGTTCGTCTATCAATACCTTTTTCACCTATGAGATAAATTCGTAGAAAAGGTGGGCTTCTCTAATAGAACAGGTTTCTTTGCACTTTCTCAGGTTGTGGCGTAGAGAGAATGTTCCGTGAATAATATTATCGACATATTATAATAGTACTTCAGCAAAAACTGCTAATGAACGTCAAATGGTAAGGCGTGAACGTCAAGCCATAATAAGGGGTGGACCACTATTTTTTATAGGAGGAGGAATGAACATATTTTCAAAACACAAGCAATATTTTTGGTTATTGTCTTTGCAGACAATTTTTTTCCGGCTGCTTCTTCCTGATCACAGTTTTCTTTTGTCCAGCTAATAACACCTTATTAAGGCCCAGACGAATAATATTCTCTCACAGAATTTTCCCCCTTCACAATTTTCGTCTTATTTTATCATGTATTCATGTAAAGCGCAATTTCAAGTTACACGGTTAATTTCGATGCTGCGAAAAGCGAATTCGGTATCGTGTAACTGGGCCCTATAAGAGTGCAAACTATTTTCTCCACTTCTCATAATGTGAAAGCAATGTCGGTCCTTGCAACAATTTTTTTTAAAGATTTTTCATCCTCCCTCCTAAAAAATAATGGTCCACCCCAAACTGACGTCAGCTGGAAGTTGGCGGCGAAAATGTTTGTCTTAAAATTAAACATTTCCTTAGTGGAGATTTATTACAGCAATCAAACTCCAGACAGAAATCGTCAACAGCGGTTAGCGGTTCGCCGCAATCAATTGATTGAACTAAATTTTAAGGCTGGGACTACTTAAAAGGAATACTATCATGGATATATTTGGCCAACAAAAATGATTATGTCCTATCATTACGTGCTTGGTGAATAAATGCGAAGCGTCTGAAATTGGGGTGGGACCGTGGTGTCAAATTATTTTATACCTGCACTCGAGTTTCAGTATATGCATGTGCAAAATGTTCCTGAAGTTATAAAAGTTGTTGTAAATTGTAAAGAGCCTTCCAACAAATTGATTAGAATTGGCATAAAGAATAAGGAGAGCTGCATGATCTGGGGGTCTTTCCCAGTAAAGGTTTCTGAAGCTTGATCATCACTTTACTTTTGGCATTTTTTGGAGCGTTCAAAAGAAAAACAAAAAGCATAGTTTAAGACTTCTTTTCGGTCACATCTGCGTAACTACACTTTTAAACTTTTAGAATTGTACAAATGGATTTAGAACAGCATGTTAAAATATCGATTATGTATATGGTGAACTGACCAATCGGCTCAATGATAAAAATGACTTTCCATATATTATATGTTACTTTATACATTTTACAGCATGCATTTAGGTCAAAATTTGTAAATCGCTAATCGGCAAATATTACAGTTAGCGATAACTGTGTAGGATTTGTGCCTCAAAATTAAAGATATATTATAGTAATTCTGAGAATTACAAACGCACATCTCTTTTTGGTTCTATATTCGTAAAAATCTTCGGTTTTGTGTCCCCCGCCTAATATTTAAAATTGATAATTCACCCCTGAGTGAAAACTCAAGAAAACTTTCATTGACTGAAATTATCGCGTCGTCGCCAATCGCTGACCGCTACTATATTAATCAGTCCAGTAAGTTGGATTGCGCCCTAAAATGCGTCAGTTTGTTATTTTACTTTGTCCAACGATACACGATTCTACACGTCAACGATGCACGATTTTACACGCGCTGGCGCTCAATCGGTTGATAAAACTGTCCAACGCGAGATGATTTTAATCGCCAAGGGGAAAGTGCTGGTGCTCAATGATAAATAAGAGCAAATCTTGCTGACGCATGTGCATGGATATTAATTATAACATTAGTAAGGTTCCAGAACAATTATATAACACAATTACACACCACACAAAATCATTAAACGAATTCTGTTAACAATGCTATTAGCTAAGATTTTGTCAGCGCTAATACAACATTCCCAATTGTAACCGTGGCAACGGGCTAGGTATATTGGCTGGCAGAGCTCGAGGTTAGATAGCATAATCGTAAGAACATTGAGAATACAACAACATGTTTAAGGCATGTTAATATGATAACTGCAATCCTCTTGAGAGACGAGGGTAAATATCTCTTTTACGCTTTGCCCTGCTGTGTCGTGTCTCGAATTGCGAAACTTTTTGTGCGAGTTTTTGTGACCTGTGGCTAGCGTCGTATTGCGAGCCACGCTGAAACAAAACATTGTGTGTGGCTCCATAGATTGCCGGGGAATTTAGTTACTATATTCGTAAAGCCTAACGCGAAACTTCTCTCCGCGTATTGTGTTTCGACTGTGGGTGTTTTGTGCTGTTTTTACGTTCTACGTAGCAAGGGGTTAAGGTTATGAACGTTTGTTTGGGTTCTTTTTGCCTCGCGATAGTTTTGTTAGAGAAAGAAAACAGCATGCAAGGAACTTCTTATTCGGTTCGTGTACTATGAGAGGAAACGGGAACAGCGGGGTTTATATATTATCATATTAATAGCAAGCTATTTTATAACCTTCTGGAACGGAATGGCAGCCATATTAGTTATCTGGTAAGCGTTTTGAGCTGTCCGAACAAAATCGCTCAAATTTTCCCGCACCTGGTTCGATCCCTTTAACGAAGGTGGGAACGTAACTAAATATCATTTTCCACTAGCACACTCTAACTGACCGAATTTATAAAACATGGCCGAAATTTTCTCTCAGTTTTGTGTAAGGTCTGCTGCGGAGCTCACCCATCGAGAGTCCTGCTGAATATAAGACAAAACAAATCTTAACGATTTGATTAAAAATGACAATTACCACGGTCGCGAATCGATTCTTTCTCGCTAAAGTCGCCTTAAAACGTATTCTAGAACTTTAAATGTTGCAAAATCACTAAAGGGTAACAATATTGAGATACCCAGGCTGAATTATGACGGTTTAAGCTCGGCATTGAATAGAAAGAAACAGAAATAAACATTAATATCATTCACTCCTAGGGTGAGCCTAATATTTGCAAACGTTTGCGTGGTATGGCGAAAACTTTAACGGTAAAAACACAGCGGAGTGATATTATATACAAAACGTAACAAAGTTTACATTATACTTTCGGCTATTTCTGGGATATCTATGGGTACGGAGCATGCTTTGCTATTGAGGCTGGTGTTCACTAACATGTATCGTATTCGCGTGCAAATAGTTAAAACCGTGTTTTTGAAAGAGGTTTACACTGTCACATATTTTGACCCAAGTGTATTTTGATAAAGAAAGAAGTTCCAACCGGTAGCATTTCTTCATAACAACAGAAGTCTAGCCAATTTAAAATTCGAACTTTTAGCTTGAAATTATATAGTTCTGAAAATATCATATATTTCGGTGTACATTCTTACATTGATTACGGCTAAGATTAACAAAATATTCTTCTTAAGTGGATTTTTACTTAGTCAGAACATCAAATTTCTAGACCCGATTAGAAAATTTTGTTACCTTCATCGCTTTCCGATTTCACTTATATCAGATAGCAACTAAACTTTATTTACTTTATTTATTGATACTGGATGGTTGTTCTATCAGTCCTGTCTATAAGCTGTTCTCGTTAGAAGTCCTAAAAGGGCCACCCTTGGACTGTGTTAATCCTGGAAACTGGGTACCTAAAGAAACCTGAGGTGTTTGATATAGAAACTGCACTCTTTTCAGATTGAAGTGTTTGAGATGAAATTTTTATGATATGACTGCAAACGGCAGAAATCGAAGGCCGGTCATTGAGATGAAGGCACATACTGCAATAACGATTGTGTATGTAGTGCACCAACACGTATAATCTTTTATCGCGTCTGACACATTTGGTTTTGAATGACATGTGAAGTTATGGGTGGACAAGCAATAATTCGCCTCAGTATTTGCTAATTCATTGATCAAAATGCTAATCATAATCATTTGAAGCTAAACAATAGCTGCTTCCTCTCCCCGTTGATGAGCAAACAAAAACGTATTTAGCGAGCAATACATGATATAATTGAGTGCAAACTGTCTTGGGGGGATGGGCTACTATAATAATGAAATGAGACAGTTTTGTTAGCGGGGTTACTATAAGCACTGAATCGGACTGAAAAACCCTTCATTTTTAGGGGGAAAAGTTTAAATTTACTACGATTTGAGGTTTTTGGTTGATTTCGGATGTGAGAATTGGATTGGTACAATCTGTATACGATATTGTAGCTCACTCGTTGTTACTCATTACAAGTGCTTTGGGGAGGAGCTTGCTCTACAAATGACTAATTCCATTGTGCGTTGTAGTGTTCGATGAGAGCGCGAGACAAAAAGCTCAGCCTGAGAAATTGATTAACGAGACTAGCTCGTTTACACCTGTAGTGCAAAATAGCCATAATTGTTTGTGCACATGCTATTCTGAGCGCGGAGCGAGAGCGCAGCACGAGGGCTCGGAGATTAAAACACAGGCACTCCATGAAGGCCTGGTTAAATACAACATCAGCAACGCTAGAGTACGCATCTCTGTGCTAATACCCAACACTAAATACAACTTCCAGTGATTCAGTATTCATCTTCTAGCGATCCAATACCAAGAAGACTCATGGCATTCTCAATTCCACAGTCGACTAGGGAGTGCACTCAATTCGATGTACATTCCCTGATTGGTGACTCGACATTAAAGTACAAAACTAACGAAAGAGTACAAAACTTTCAGCAGAATCCAACACCGTCCCGAATGGAACGCCACGGCCATCTTCAAACCAACACAACACCTAGCTACACAGTTTTGGGATCGGGCAGTGAACCAAGCGAATCCCTAAACGTGGACCCTGATTCCGCTAAGAATAAGAGCACACAAAAGAAATCGAGACGTCGGCCGCCTTATTCATACATTGCTTTGATAGCAATGGCCATTCAGCAATCCTCCGAGAAAAGATTAACTTTAGACGGTATTTGCAAGTTCATTCGCGATAAATTCCCTTTCTATCGTGAAACGTACCCGGCTTGGAAGATTTGTATTCGGAACAATCTTTCCTTGAATGACTGCTTTGTCAAGACGGGAATCAAGTCAGACGAGCCTTTGAAAGGAAATTATTGGACTCTAGATCCAGAGAGCTACAACATGTTTGAAAATGGAAGCTTTCTAAGAAGAAAGACACGTTTCAAACGACAAGAACGCGTTCGCGAAGAGCACGCTAGTAAGTCATGTCTGAGAGAAACTCCTGGGTACCCTACAAGTCCGTTATTGTACAATGATCTAAACATGAGACTTAACAGTAACTTTGTCCTACCAAGTTGCTCAGGCCTCAATTACATAGACACCCCAAAGATTTCAACCACAATGTCAAACCCTTATCTGCCTTGGCCAAGTCCGTATATATCTTCGCCAGCGAGAGATTCAAGTCTACAGTGGCCGACATCCTATTCATCATTCCTACCGCCCTACTACAATCATCTGAACTCGTGTACGCCCTGCTCGTGTACGGTGTGCGATTCTTCAAAAAATCTCTATCTAAGACTATCGAACTGAGACTTTAAAGAACTATAGTTCAAAATAAGGTAAATCCTAACAAATTTTAGCTGCTGAAGTGTAAATATACGATCTATTTCTCGCAAAAGACAATTGATGAAAATCTTCAATTATATTTGGATTAAAAAATCACTACCGTGATCTTCTAAGTTTAAAACTCTAACAAAGAACTTAGTGACGTTAATTATAGGCATCTAAAATTTGTAAGGGGATGCGCTCCTGATATGATCAGCTTATCACTCGAAGAGAAACAGTTACAGTGTGTATTGACTATATTTATTACAATATTTGCGGGATTTCTACTGTTTGTAAATAGTGCAAAGATTAATGTTGATTTACGGTGTGTATTTAAGAATATTTATTGTAAATAAAAGCGAATTTGAACTTGGCAAAGTGTCCTAAATGTTTGCTTTATGCGAGAATCATATTAATTAATTTAAATGGAAGTTTAGAAAAGATGTCCCCAGCTTGCGAGTTAAAGTAGAGTGTATTTTTTATCCCGAGCGCGCAGCTGTTATAAACTAAGTGATTTCGCATAGTCTAAACAAAGTACAGTTTGTACTAATTGAACAGATATTTGCACGTTGCGCTTGTACTTGACCCTGACTTTCGACCAAGTCGGCCATATTTTTCGCGCAAACATGAAGAATTCTCACTGCGCGCAAAGTTTTTCAAGTTTAAAACACCTATAAGTACAAAATATATATAGCCTGTAATTCCGATGTTTAGTGACAGTGAGAATTTTTGTCAGTAAATGTAGAGATTTTTATGCTTCATTTTCTTGGAAAACATAACAGGCCGCAACAAAAGATGACTTTGTAAAGTTAACAGGATTAGTTGAATCTTTTCATGTTTATCATATCTCCCCAATTCTTTGCCGTTTGAGCTTGATCCTTCCAGCCTAATATAAAACCGTACAGTTCCGAACAGCACTGCAAACTATATACCCTTGGCCTTGCTTGCTTGCTCAGTGTAGAAAGACTAAAATACTGTTTGAAAAAAAATTAATCGGCAAAACTAAATATTTCCATGCAGCATCAGACTGTAGACTTTACGTTGATCGCGAGTTCATTTGTTGGTGAATCATTGAAGAACGTGCACTTACTCTATATACAATGCTATGCGTGAGTCATATTTTGGCAACGCCACTGGCTATGATCACATACAGAAGCTACAGATATTTTAAAACCAGTCTTCACGGCCGGAAAAGTATAGTAAAACTTTATGTTGGTCTTACTTAAACTCTTTGAATCTGAGGTTCAGCTTAAAATCTTTCAGTCCTCGTCAATCCTCATCAGTCGGGAGAGCAACTTTGAATAGCCTTCACACGAAACGTCCCGACTCCGAGCCGCTTTTTATTTTTTCAATCTTTGAAGTAGTTTTCACCCTTTTAGGTATCGATATTAGGTTATTTAGTGTAAAACGTTCGTAGTCTTTAAAGGTCTTCAGCCGTATCATATACGCTGAGAGGATCATGATCATGATGATGCCTCAATCTTCTCTTTAAAGTCAGAGCAGTAGATTTTCTCAAGCTAGGAAACTCTTATACTTATAGGAAGGCTAAGAGATCTATCTTCTTCGGACATAGCGAAGAAACTTTGCAACATTTGTAGAATTTGATTGGACAAACGGCTTTTAGAAACTGTGATTCGAAGGAACCTATCAATGACCTTATATATACTTGTTGAATATAAATATATAATGTTTAGAAACTAAGTGTATGGAACATACATAACCGCGAGTCGACTATACTGACAAATTTAACTGAACAGCATTTACCTTCAAATCAATACCACTATACAGGGTTTGATTATAATATATCAGATTTGTTGCCTAAACAAACTTTTCCTTAAAAAGCATTTTAGGCATGATACTGTTGACGGAAAGTCATTGAACGGGAAATGTTTGACATGTGAAACCAAGTTAATTAAGTCACAGTTATTGTGCCCTTAGTAAAGTACTTATATTTATTTTGTTGTGTATTGTAAGTATGTCTTTCAATAATATAGGCTTCTGGGGGCCTTGAAGCTTTTTATCATACATCTACACAAACACGAATGTCGGAGTCAGGCTATCAATTGAAGACAATTCATGAGAAGTGTTCGTTCAAGGAAATGTATTGTGGCAATGCCAGAATATTGTACATTATTTGTTAATGAAGCCACGTTGTATCAAGTATGTTTGCTTAGCAAAATACTGTTAGTTTTTTAAATTAATATGAAAGCAAAAAGCCTCCTTCGAGATCTTTTGTCTTGCAATTCTAAGGGCCATTTCCGTCCCATTCCGTTCTACCCCGAATGCGTTTCCTGCCCGCTTTGTAGCGGCACTTCGTGCTCGTTTGAAGAAGCTTGATAGGACTTGCAGAGAAGCAATGTCATTGACTGATCGTATGCGGTGCTCGCTCTGTCAGAAACATAATGAAATTCGCAGGATATTATCCGCCTATTCTTCTGGTTGCCCTCTGTGTTTCACAAAGCCGCGCAAGCCAGCATTTAGTGTATATATAGTGTGCATGGGCAGATTATATTGTGTTATAAGTCAGCTATAAAAACAATATATTGCATGTAAGATTGCATGTCTTGTATTTTTGTTTATTTATGTTACCCATACGATATACTAAACTATGCATGGTAAGACAATACCATTGTAGAAAAATATTAGGGAAAATATTATAAGACATTGACCTATTAACAAACTATATAATTAAATCAGTACTGGTATTTACGTGAAGTCGTAAAAATAGCACATCTAGGTTAACAACGAAAGGAAATGCAACATGACAATACATGAAAGAAGTTATGTCTGTTCCATAAAATCGTCTAGACTTTTTACAATAAAATTGTATACAGTAAATTGATTAAGTGAATGAAAGAAAGTAAATTTTTCTCCATGCACATAAGATTTAATGTTTTTAAAATGTTCCAAATTCATGTCAATGGACCATTTGCATTATAGACTAAATTTTGATCTAGACAAAAATTTCATCATAGTTTGAAAGAGCATCACAAAATTAGTAATATTCCAAAGTTTCGTTGCGAAATGTTGTAAAATGCGGATAATATAGCCATGCGAAGTTTGCCGTTTTTCAGTCATTTTGTATTACGCACGGGAAATTGAAGCCCAATCGGGTGTTGGGGCATCAATTTCCCGTTTGTAATCTAAAATGACTGAAAATTGCCGCAAGGCTATATTATCCGCATTTTACAACATTTCGCAACGAAACTTTGGAATATTACTAATTTTGTGATGCTCTTTCAAGCTGTGATGAAATTTTTGTCTAGATCAAAATTTAGTCTATAATGCATGCAAATGGTCCATTCCTTTTACTATAAACATTACCCCGTACGACGAGCACGTTTTCCTTCACATGCATGTTTCACTTGTTTGTGTATTGTAGGGAAAATAATGACAATTTTCCCTTGCCAAGCCATCTATAACAAATCGACTTACGAGTAGCAACAGTAAACACAAAGCAACATTTTTGTGTTTAGGATGTTCAGGAGTGCAAATTGACTATTGAGTATTGATTTTAAGCAAACCGTACGTGTCTCAATATCATGCTATTCTATCAAGTTGCTAACAATTTTTAAAAAGTAGCGAATAGCGATTCGCTGTTTGAAAAGTAGTCAACTACTTGGCTACTTTTAGGCAAAATGTAGTTCGCCATAACTACAACTACTGTTTTTAAAAAGTAGTAAAAAACTACTGGCTACTTGAAAGTTGTAGTTCGCTACAACCCACCCTTGGGTTTTGGCAAACAAAAGTTGGACTTGACGTCATGACGTGCATGAGATAAATGTTTAACAACAAAACTTGTCAAGGAAAACTTGTTGACCGTACGCATGACAAGAAGGTATAAACTGTCAAGGAAAACTTACTCGTCTGTGCAGGACCTAAATGAAGGAAGTTATATGACGATATTGAAAAAATCATCTACCTTTTCTAGCCTTTTTACATTT